GCATGTAGCCTGTAGTTATGGTGAAGTGGTATGGTGACAGTGGAAACATGACACTTGACAGTATAGTGTTTGATGGCGAGTGTCTGTGGTGTGACAGTAGTGCGTGGCAGCCAAGTCATGGTGATGAGAGTAAGTGAGATAAACGCTGTGTGTGTGTGTGTGAGAGAGAGAGTGTGTGTGTGTGTGTGTGAGAGAGTGTGTGTGTGTGTGTGTGTGTGTGTTTATGTTTCGTTTTTGTGTATGTAATATATATTTGGTTGTGTAGATGGTGTTATCTGTGTACGTGTGTGTGTATGTGTATGTGCTGTTCTGTGTACGTGTGTGTGTGTGTGTGTGTGTGTGAGGGCCACGGTTCTAGCGGCTTGTATCAAGGTTGTACAGTGTAGTCTTTAAGTGTTTGATGGCGGGGTGTAGCTGTGTCCAACCCTGGTGAGAGAGAGAGAGTTGTGTATGTGTGTAATTGAAATAGAAGAAGAAAACTCAAGGCATATTTTATTTGTTTGTTTGTGTTTGCTTTTTGTTTGTTTGTTTGTTTGTTTTTATTTTGTTTGTGTTTGTTTTTGTCTGTATTGTTTGTATGTTTTGTTTATCTCTTGTTTTCACTGTTTTATTGTGTTTATATTAATAGTTACTGAGATAAATATTGAGGAATATAGACTAATGGTGGTCTATTGACGTCTGTGTGTGTGTGTGTGTGTGTGTGTGGGTGTGTGTGTGTGTGTGTGTGTGTGTGTGTGTGTGTGTGTGTGTGTGTGTGTGTGTGTGTGTGAGAGCAGCAGTAGTGTTGTGAACGGCGTGAAGACGAGAGGGTATGTTACAGGAGTTAAATTGGCCTAGTTATGTTATTATTAATGCAAATTAGTCGTTGTGGTGAGTGGTTCATCGTCCACTGAAACAACCTCTCAAGTGTTAACCCCTTGTCTGATGCCACTGTGACCATTAGTGATGTCACGGCAGATAATGTGTGGAAGGGATTATGGCACATGTGAAAGAAAGAGAGAAAGAAAGAGAGAGAGAGAGAAAGAAAGAAAGAAGGATATAGTAGGAAAAAATATAATCGAGTGTTATAGAGAAATAGTATAGAAAAAGATGTTATAGAGAAGATGGGGTGTAGGTGGGGTAGGTGTATTGAGGTGTGGGTTGAGGGTGTGTGGGGGCAGGGTGTGTGGGGGGTAGAGGTGTGTGGGGGGGAGTGCAGAGGGTGTGTGTGGGGGGGGGTGGGGGTGTGTAGAGGGGGGTGGGGGTGTGGGGAGGTGGGGTGTGTGGGGGTAGAGGGTGTGTGGGGAGTGGGTGTGTGTGGGGGTGGGGTGTGTGTGTGTGTGGGGGTGGGGTGTGTTGTGGGGGTAGAGGGTGTGTTGTGGGGGGGTGGTGTGGGCGGGGTCGACAGTGAATAGAATAATATTGTGTTATTAAGGCAGATAGATGTTTAGGTCAGGTTAGGTTAGGTTAGGATAAGTTAGTCTTTTAGGTAACAATTTATCTTATGAGAAATTCTACTTGTATATTAGATCAACTACCTCTTGCGTGTGTGGATAAATTTATGTATACATATCTCTATGTATATTAGTATTAGCTATATACATGTGTGTGTGTATAAATGTATATAATGTATACATATAGAGAGCTATATAAGACATTATTTTCCTACATCAATATAGCGGTATAAACAACACTATCAAGAGCTCTCTAGTTTAAGAAATCTCCAAGTACATTTTAGTGTCTTGAAACGCACATGTGGAAGAAACATGACCGTCTCTAACCTACATATGTGTGTGTGTATGTATATAGGTGTGGGTTTAGATTTGGTATGTGTGTTTGTGTGTAGTTATGTATGTTTGTGTGTATACTTGTGTAGGTTTGATTACTTAAAATAGCCTCGTATACATAAATAATCACGAGGAGAGGAGTAAAGTGACCAGCTAATGGCACCCACACACATGTTGTTGTTAGCTCAGAGTAATTAGGTAATTCAACTGCCAGGGTCGTTAAGCACCGTTCACTAAGTCGTCTTGTTTTTACATGAGACAAGAGAGAACTTCTGAATTATTAAGAAAGTTGTTGTTTTCTATGTCTGTCTGCCTGTCTGTCTGCCTGCCTGTCTGTCTGTCTGTCTCACATCTATAAATATACACACACGCATTTATTTAGTTATTCAGAGTTATTTTAAAACATACAACCACAAACGTACACACACACACACACACACACACACACACACACACTGTTCGTGGCGTCCGTGTACATGCCGTGTGTCTTGGCTCCCGTGTACTTCATTTCCGGGTACCATCTTTCACGCTGTCCTCAAAATGTTTTTCTTTTATTTTTTTTTACCTGCTGATTCTCGCTTAACGATGCCTCTTAATCACGTCTCACTGTCGCCAGGTAGGATAGTGGCTATTACCTTCATCACCTGTCTGATAACACCACCTGAGCTGACCTTACCTGTCTATGCGTATTATTTACCCTAGGATGAACTACCACCACTATCCTCTCTCTCTCTCTCTCTCTCTCTCTCTCTCTCTCTCTCTCTCTCTCTCTCTTTTGGTGTTATTTCTTAAGAATGTTGGTAGCCTCTTATTATTATTTTATTATTATTATTATTATATTATCATAGTCATTATATATACGTATGTGTGTGTATTTATATATGTATGTATGTATGTATGTATGTATGTATGTATGTATGTATGTATGTATGTATGTATGTATGTATGTATGTAACACAACTGTAACAGGAAGTCGGTAAGAATGCTGAACAATTCCTTCCTGTCTTACCTGTAACTCATAACATAAATATCGTGTCCAGGTAGTTAATGACGCAGCCAGTGTTGTTTTTGTGTCAGTGGGGGGGTGTGGGAGGAGGGTGTGGGAGGGTGTGAGAGGGGGTGTGGGAGAGGGGTGTGGGGTGAGCATTAGCACGACAAAAAATTTCTGAAAACTCGTATGAAATAAAGAGTAATAAAAGCCTTTTGTTTTGTTTTATGTCTAGAGAACGTATTGTGGGTCTATTATTTTTTTTTTTGGTGGGAGGTGTTGTATAATTTTTTTTAGCTGGTATAAATTGTTTACTGTTTTTATTATATTTTATCGACTGGTTTTATTACAGATGTTTTTTTTTTATTATGGGGGTTTAGTTTTATTCATTTTTTGGTGGTTTATATTGTTTTTATTTATAATTTTTGTTTTAAGGTTTTTTATAATTATTATCTTTTATTTGTGATTTATTATACGAGGTTACGTACAAACAAACACATATACATACACACAAACACACACACACACACACACACACAGAGCTACAACACAAAGACATCTCCCCTATGTGAACCAAAAACACCCCGACCACTCAATGTTGCCACAACCCGATAGCAGGACACCCTCTTTTATACCACACCAACTATATACCATATTAAATACTTAACACATCAACTATTTACTACTAATCACTAAAATAATAATAGTTACTTATAAATACTACTTAGGTATGTATATAATCGATTATAGAGTTAGATAGAGGTTATTTAAGTATGGTATAGATATTTCTTTGAGGGGGTTGGTAGGTAAGGGAAGGTTCGTCTTCTCTGGTGACTTGTGGCAATACTGCATCACTACTTGGGGTAATCCCCTTCCCATTTCCAATCTAAACTTTTGCCCAATCGCTCCCCTATTTTGTTGACTGAGGGCTGGGAGGGGCTGAGGGAGGGGGACTGAGGGAGGGGGACTGCATGTTGTGTCGGGTCTAGCTTTCCTCTCAACTCCCGCTGCAGTTCTGACTCCGCCCATTTCTGTAATCTCTTCTCTCTTCCTGCCTCCTGTCTCCTTCCTCCTCTTCCTTCTCCTCTTTCCTCCTCCTGTATCTCTTCTTCTCCTTCTCCTCCTCCTTCTCATGTCTCTCTTCTCCTTCTCTTCCTTTTGTCTTCCTCATCCTTCTCCCTCCCCTCCCTCCTGCTTCTCTTCCTCTTCTTCCTCCTGCCTCCTCCTCCTCTCTGGTCTTAGTTCCTCTCTTTTGTCACTCTCCCTCTCCCCTCAGTTATCTCTCTTCCCTTTTCCCTCGTTCTCTCTCCTTCCCTCATTCTCCTTCTCTCCTCTCTCTCTCTCTCTTCCTCTCCCCTCACTTCACCTTCACTTACTGTCTCTTGATTTTCCCTCACCCCTCACTTCCTCCCCTCCCCTCGCTTGCCTCCTCTTACTTCCCTCCTCATCCTCCCTTCCCTCTCTCTCTCTCTCTCTCTCTCTCTCTCTCTCTCTCTCTCTCTCTCCTGTTTCCCTCTTTCTCTCCATCTTTATCTCTCTCTATCTGTCTCCCCATTATCTCCCTGCATTTCTCTCCCATATTTAAAGTTGCGTCTCTCGTTCACATCCGTTCGTCCGAAAAATCAATACGTGTGTGTGAAGTCTTTAAAAAATGAATTTCCAATAATCTCTGTTTTATTTATTTCATCTATACATAAACTAAATTCATATAAACAATAGAATTATATCTACAATAATCTAAAATAATTTGTTTTCATCTGTGTAAAATAATAAGTAAATTAGACTAAAAAAAATAATAATAATTTATCTCAATGGCGTCACAAAAATAAACGGGAAAACGTCACAACGGGAAATGACGTCACGTGAATGCTAGTCCCTGATTGGTGGAGAGGAAGCCCCATTAAACGAAGGGGAGAGGAGGGGAAGAGAGGAAGGGAGGAAGGAGGAAGAGAGGAATCCTGCTGCTGCTGCTAACCAAACATTTACCCATCTGTAGAACCAATCAGGACATTAATTGATTCAAAGTGACCACTCAGGTGCATCGGGTGATACAAATTAACCAATCACAGTCGCCAATTGATCTCCAGCGGCCAATTATATGCGAGTAATATGGGTTGAGCGCTAGTCACTCTTGATAATAACCGGATCACATCCATCCATCCATCTATCCATCTATCCATCCATCTATCCATCCATCTATTATTATTATTTTTTTATCGTCTCTAATAGTAATTCTCTCTTTACAGAACCGACTTATTGCGTCTCCTTACTGGCCGACAGGTGTTCTCGTGTGCAGGTAGGTGGCCACAGTTCATGACGCATGGGAAGAGGAGGAGGAGGAGAGGGAGTGGGGAAGAAGGGAGGAGGAAGGAGAAGGGTGAGAGAGAGAAGAGGAGAAGGAGAAAGGAAAGAGGGAGTGGGAGGAAAAGAGAGGAAGGAAGAGAAGGAAGAATTAGGGGAAAGAAAGGGAGGAAGGGAGGAAAGGAAGGAGTGGGGAAAGAAGGGGAGGAGGGAGGGAGGAAGAGGGGTGGGGAAAAGAGGTGGAGGAGGAGGGAGGAAGGGAGGAGAGATATAGGGGGGAAAGAAAGTGGACGGGAAGGAACTGGAATAAATATGGAGGCAAAACAAACTCAAGAATGATAAATGAGCAGAGAGAGAGAGAGAGAGAGAGAGAGAGAGAGAGAGAGAGAGAGAGAGATAATCCCTCAGAGACCAGTGTGTTGAGGGCTGATGGAACAGGGGCCCGTAAGTCAGCTGGGAAAATGGCCTGCAAGATCAGGTTCATCAGGTCCTGTCTCGCCCGGAGGCTGTGGGGAGGGAGAGGGAGGAGGAGGAGAGGGAGAAGATGGAGTAGGGAGGAGATGGGCAGTGGGGAGTAAGACAGTGAAGGGAGAGGAGATTTTTGGGGAATAGGGAGAGACACTGATGGAGAGAAGATGATAAGGGAGATATAAAAAAAGAGAGAGCGAGATAGAGAGTAAAAAAAAAGAGTTAAAAAAAAGGGAGAGAAAAGAGAGAGACCCAGAACGACAGCAGAAAGACTATCTCTCTTCAGAAGACTTTTAGCCTTGATGAAAGATTTAGAACAAGATAGACGACTCAACCCACCGAGGGAGACAGAGAGACAGAGGGAAAATGAAGAGAGAAGGAGGAAGGAAGGAGGAGGTAAAGAAGGGAAGGAGGGTGAAAGAAGGAGGAAAAGGAGGGAGTAGAAGGGAAGGAGGGTGAAAGAGGAGGAAGAAGGGGAGTTAAGAGGGAAGGAGGGAGTGAAGAAGAAGGAAGGAGGAGTAAGAGGAGGAAGGAGGGGGGTGAAGAGGAGGAAGGAAGGGTTAAGAGGAATAGGAACGAAAGAGAAATAAATAGAAGGAAGGAAGGAAGAAAGTGTCCATTGGGGGGAGGTTGATGACAGGACAGAGATGAGTAGTAAACATGAATGTGTCGTGTCCCAAGGGAGAAGAAACCTTGTATAAGATAGTGATTATGTGTATGTGTGTGTACGTGTGTGTGTGTGTGTGTGTGAGTGTGGATAAAAATATGTAAATGTGTGTGTGTTTGTGTCTGTATACATACATACATACATACATACATACATACATACATACGTTCCACTGCTTAACTTCTCCCCCTCTTTTACCTCACTATGGAGACTTGAATAGTTTTCTACCTGAGATAACTTCCTTCGTGCCAGTAGAGGTTGGTGTGGCACTGTTGAGAGAAAGAAAAGTGGCACTGGTACTATTCTGAGAGAGAGAGAGAGAGAGAGAGAGAGAGAGAGAGAGAGAGAGAGAGAGAGTCACCCATCCAGCCTCACTGATTCGCCAACTCAATCACCACCCACAACTTCAGCCCCTCTTCCTCCTCCTCTTCCTCTTCTTCCTCCTCCTCCTCTTCCTCTTCTTCCTCCTCCTCCTCCTCCTCCTCCTCCTCCTCCTCGCATCAGTACGTGCTTATGCCGGACGCCGAGGGATTCTCTCCCTTGGTAAGCAGAGACTGAAGAGACCACGAGAGATCCTCAGAGACACAAAGGGAGGACTGAGGGAGACAAGGGAGGAGAGGAGGATGGAGGGAGGACGGGGAGGAGGAAGAGGCAGGGAGGATGGTGGTGGTGGGACGTTCAGAGAGAAAGAGGAGGAGGAGGAGGAAGAAGAAGAGGAGAGGAGGAAGAAGAGGAGCAGGAGGAAGAAGAGGAGGAGCAAGAGGAAGAGAAGGAGACCAGGAGAGTCATCACCACCATTATGCCAATGTTAATCCCGAGTGAGTCTCGCTGTTGACTGATCTTCGTTTTATGGAGTCGAGGATTTTACACGTCTCGTCGACCGGTGATAAAGGCTTAGTAGTGTGGCAGAAGAGGACTGAGAGAGAGAGAGAGAGAGAGAGAGAGAGAGAGAGAGAGAGAGAGAGAGAGAGAGACAACACATCAACACCCCCTCTCCAACACATCTCAACACATATTTACATCAACACACTATTAACTGTCTCACATCTCTTGATCTCTCTTACGTTCAGCTGAGAGACAGACAGACTGACGTTCACCAAGGAGCAAACTTTATGTGTTTATTAATTATTTTGTTATGTAGGGAGATAGGGGGGGAGGGAGACAAGGGGGAGGGAGAAAAAGGGAAGGGAGAAAAAGGGAAGGGAGGGGGGAGAGAAGGACGAAAGGGAGACAAAGGAGGAGACAGAAACATAAAGAAGGGAGAAAGTGGGAGAAAGAGAGACAAAAATGGACAGAGAAAGGGAGAAAAACGGGAAGAGAGAAAAGGGGGATAGAAAGTGAGAAGGAAAAATAAGGGAGTGAGAGAAAGGGGGAGAAAGAGAGGGAGAAGGGAGCATAACCATCCAGGTAGGTGAGAGTATAGTGCTCATTAAGGTAAGGTTAATACAAAAGGTGTCAGGTGTCGCCTCTAATGAGCACCTGGCGTTGGTAAGTGACACGAGGAGATGAGATGAAAATATGACACTGAAATGACACGGAAATGACTGGGAAGTGACACGGAAATGACACAGAAATGACATGGAAATGACTGGGAAATGGCACAGAAATGACACGAAAATGACTGGGAAATGACACAGAAATGACACGGAAATGACACGGAAAAATGACACGGAAAAATGACACACACAAAATATAAAGAAATGAAATGAATTAAAAAAGAGACGCAAAATAGGTAGATAAATAAGAGAGACATAACTAGACAGATGAGAATTATTTAAGGTTTCTCGAATAAAAAAATAAATAGCGTATTATTTTGTTTCCTTTTTATGTAAGGGAGAATTTTCTTATATGTTAATGATGGCGGCTGTGTCAGTGGTAGGGTCGTTTGTTTATGATTCCTGTCTGTCTGTCTGTTTTGCTGTATGTCTGTCTGGGTGTTTGGCTGGGTGTATGTCTGGGTATCTGTCTGGCTTTCTGGTTAAAATAAAAAAAAACACGAAAAAAAAAAACACTGAACAACGAAATCAAACATAAACACATTAACCAACTAAAAAGCGAAAACTAAGACAACAAGACTCAATAAGACCTAGTGTATATATAGTTCCTTACCACAGAAACTATCGTCTTTAAACCCCGTCCGTTCTTGTGTTATACCTTCAAGACTTTTCAGAGGTCTGGTTGGCACTGGGAGGAGGGAGTGTATGTGTGTGTGTGTGTGTGTGTGTCTGTGTGTGTGTGTGTGTGTGTGTGTGTGTGTGTGTGTGTTTCTTTTGTCTGGCCCCACGACAAAGAAACTTACCCTATTCTTAACCTACTCCCTTTTTTTCTTTGGCCGTTTCCTTGACCGCTGAGACGTCCCCTTGAATCTCCTCTTTGGCGAAATTATAAAACATTAAGTCTTTGTGTTTATTTTTTTTCCTTGATTCTCTGTAGCTGGTGAGTGTCATCATCCTGGTTGATTCGTTCTCATATGGCCAATCAGTGTTGAGGTGCATGTGACGTCATAAATGGTAGTGTCGAATTAGATTAACGGGTGTTGATGACGTCATTATTTTTTTTGGGGGGGTGTGTCGACTTTACATCATCATTGACTCTAGATGTTTGATTTGATTTGCGTGCGTGTGTGTGTGTGTGTGTGTGTGTAGCGTGTGTATGTATATATATATGACGTCATACACCTATCCAGAGTGAGTATATATATCGTCATTCTTGTAAACACTGAAGTATATTTTTCCTTACCTCAACAGTCAGTGGGAATGTGTGACGTCATTCTTGTAAACAATGAAAGCTCATTTATCATCTGACCAATAAAAAAAAGGCCAACTCTGACGTCACATATGTAAATCACTAATCTCATTCGCTCTCACCTGGCCAATCACCTGTCTTTAATTTTCAGGTATTTACTTAGCTATAGTTTATTGATAATTAGAGTAGATACTTTTAAGTAATTATAAGTCTGGTTACTTAAGGTGGAGAGAGAGAGAGAGAGAGAGAGAGAGAGAGAGAGAGAGAGAGAGAGAGAGAGAGAGAGAGAGAGGTCAGTGATCTCTCTAGTGTGTAAACCTCTTGATAGATAGATAGATAGAAAAACATTTTCTCCCTCCTTCCACCTCCTCCTCCTCTCCCTCCCCCATTTTCTCCACCTCTTTCCCTTCCTTTCTCCCCATTTCCTCCACCACCTCCTCTCCCTCCTTCCCATTTTCTTCTCCTCCTCTTCCTCCTCCTCCTCCCCCCCCTCTCCCTCCCCTGGTTCTCGACACAATAAGAAACCAGAATAATTCACATCAAAGTTAAGGAAGAGTTTGTTGGTTGGTTTCGGTTGGCAATATGGCGTCCAGCGGGTTATTATGGTGTGTCCCAATGGCGCACACCTCAATACCTGCCATTGTGGTGTTGTCGTCATCACCAGCAACGGCAGCATATTCTTCTTCTTGTTGTTCTTATTCTTGTTTTTGTTGTTCTTGTTCTTGTTTTTGTTGTTCTTGTTCTTCTTCTTGTTCTGCTTATTCTTATTTATTTTATTGTTTCGTATTTTGTATTTTTCGTATTTTTATTATAATTTTTATTTTTATTATTATTACTATTATTATTATTATTATTATTATTTATTGAAGGACGATATTTATAAAAGAATTGAGAACCATTTCTACTTAAAATATGACTCGGGATTTCAAGTGTTTTATCTATGGAACATAATCTTGAAGAAATTTGGTGGAAAGTCATTTTACAGTTTTCATATTTGCTTTTTTTTTTTTTTTTTTAGAAAATTTGTGATTGAAAACGTTATCGGGATATCCTTTTGATTGAGGGAAAGTTCCAATTGAAAACGTTCCCCTGATTGTCATTTTTTTTTCCTTGTC